ATAATCAAATTATATTTTAGTTGAATAACATACAGTATAACTAATATAAATAAAAAAATTATATAAATATTAACAAAAAAATATAAAATTAATAATAACAAAACATAAACGTATAAATTTTATTCCAACTAATACAATTATAAAAGTATAAATAAGCAAATATTAACTTGAAAGTAATAATGACATTATACAATTTTAAATTAAATAACATATAATACAACTAATGTAATTATAAAAATACAAACAAGCAAATATTAACCCTAAATTCAATAGTTTCAATATTATTGCCTACTCATCACTACTATCATTCTCCTCAACATATGTTTCTATATTTTCTTCTTCTGATGTCTCAAAATCTTCCCATTCTCCTTCTTCATCCTCTTCCCCAATCTCCTCCCCAACATCAGCTTTTTCATGTATTTCAATAAACCTCCCATCAAAATATTTGCACAGGTTCATAAGCAATGTCATCAATATTTATTTGTTGAGGAATATGAGGCTCATTGTCTTGGAAATATGGTGCCAATCCTTCTCATTGGTCATCTTTATTCTCAGGAGCCTCAATGTTACTCCTAGCCTTCATTTTAAGTGCAGCAATCCATCCCCTTCTTTCATGATTAATAGATGGGTATGGTGTGTAATAAACCTACCTTGCTTGACTAGCAAGAATGAAAGGCTCATAAGATCTAAGGTATCTTCTAGGATTAATGTCAACCAATTGACGTTTTTGATCCACTTGAACCCTTTGAGGAGGAGGAATCTTGTACTAATCACATTTGAATAAAACAACTGCTTGTCAATGGATCGATCCATAGTACTCAATCTAGATTATTTCTTGAAGCACATCATAAAAATCATAATTTGATTCAGTATTAATAGATCTGACAACACAAACATCATAATTCATTGTTCGCTTATTTCTACCATAGAGGGCAATGTGAAATTGGAATCCATTGACAATATATCCATTATAGCAAGAAACATAATTTTTTGGACCACTAGATAAACCTTTGATATGCTCATGGACATTAATGAACTCATCACTAATTACCTAAAATATATAGATTGGAGAAGAAAATGTTAGATGCATTTAAAGAGAAATAACATATATATGTTAAGGAATTGAAGAGTCATATTATTAAATACTCACAGCTTGTTCAAATTAGGGCACAAGGTCTCTCTCTTGTTTTGCTTGAATTTGTTAAGGATTCATATTTTGACATTGTTCTCTCTCAAATAAACTAGAAAATATAATAATAATTTTTCATATATTGTTAGTATTTTAATTTCAATGAATCTTAATATAACAAATTAAAGATATTAGTGTAGGTTTTTTACCTGACCCATCCTCACAATTCTTCGCAATTCATTAACACATAATACGAAGCAACTTTGCGTTCCTCTACTGTCAAGCAACGTCTTTCAATTTTGGAACCAATACATTTTCCAACACATTTAAAGATGGATGGGCCACTATTATCATCAAATCCAACAACAATATTCCTAGGGGGATTATCAACTGTACTATGTACTCCATCATCAAAGTAATGAGAGATAAAATTTGTGATTTCAGACATTATGTAACTTTCACATATGGATGCTTTGGGACGTGCTTTGTTTTTCACTGTCAACTTAAGACAATGCATTCGCCTGATTCACCAAGAATTATTATATAATTAAGTTATGGTTAAAATACTAATTTGGTACCTCAACTTCTAAGTTTGTATCAAATATACCCTCAAAGGACCATTTTGAATTCTTTTTTAAGTTCAATGGTAGTTTTGATATAGAATTGAAAGTTGAAGTACCAAATTGGTATTCTAACCTCAATGCAACAAAATATCATATATGGAGTTATATTTGTTTTCATACATTATACATTAATTATATTTATCTCTCAAATGGATATATCTATCGAAATTACATCGGTCCTCCAACATGAGCCTCGTATGGAAGGTGGATTACAAGATGCTCCATACAGTCAAAGAATGAAGGTGGAAAGATTTGCTCTAACTTACAAATGATTTCTATTATCCTCTCCTGCCATATTGCCATGTCATTAACCTAAATCACCGGAGCACACAAGGCCCTAAAGAACTCACTAATCTCAACAAGTGGCTCCCAAACTTGTTTCGGTAATAAATCACGAAATGCAATTAGTATAAGGCTTTGCATGAAAATGTGAGAGTCATGACTTTTTATACCGAATAATCATGCCTCTTGTATATTGACACACCAAGATATATTGGAGGCAAATCCATCAGGGAATTTAAGTTGCTTCAACCATTGACATATTGATTTTCTTTGATCCCTACTAAGAACATAAGTGGCCTTTGGCTTTTTACCTGAATTCACTCCTATTTTCAATATGTGCAGACTTTTCCTTTTACAATACAAGTCTTGCATTTATGTTATCTTTTGTCATAGGGTCATCCATTACTGTATGAAGGATATTGTCAAAAAAGTTTTTCTCACAGTGCATAACATCTAAATTGGGTCGAATCAAGTTTGTGTGCCAATATGGTAATTCCCAAAATATGCTCTTTTTAACCCAATTGTGTACTTCACCAAATCCGTGGATTCCTTGTTTGTGAGGTAGTATATCAGGCAACCAATGGATGCGACTATGCATCTCATAACTAGACAATCTCTTTGGCATTGTTCCATTCTCTGTACGACCCTTCATGAAGTCATTCTTGTTTCTCCTAAATGGATGATCCGGTGGCAAAAATTGTCGATGATAATAAAAAAATGATGTCTTCTGACCGTGTTCCAACCAAAAGGCCTTCAAATTTTCCATGCAATAGGGACAAGTTAATTTACCATGTGTGCTCCACCTAGACAACATTCCATACCCAAGTAAGTCACTAATGGTCCACATAAGTGCAGCCCTCATCAAAAAGTATTGACGCCTAAAACTGTCATAAGTTTGGACTCCAGAATACCAAAGCTGCTTCAAATCATCGATTAGTGGTCGAGACATTACATCAATATTCTGTCCAGGACTTTGGAGACCTTGGATAATCAATGAAAGGAATACATATTCCTGCTTCATGCACATTGTTGGAGGCAGGTTATAAACTGACACAAATACTGGCCAACAAGAGTACGGAGATGCAGAATGTCCAAAAGGAGTGAACCCATCAGTGCACAGACCTAACCTAACATTCCTCAGTTCACTAGCAAACTTAGGGTGAGTGTTATCAAAATGCTTCCATGCCTTTCCACATGCAGGATGAAAATTTTTTTCATTTTCATTACAACAATTTAAATGTTAGGTCATATGCTCAACAGTTTTCCTAGACATATACAATCTCTGAAGTCTAGGAATAATTGGAAGATACCACAAAGACTTTCTTGATATAAGCTTAGCATAATGCACATCACACTGCTTAAATCGTGGCTCTTCACATACCGGGCACTGTAAATAACACTGACTTTCATATTCTCCATAATACAAAATGCAATTGTTCACACAAACATCATACTTTTTATACCCGAGACCTAGACGCCTCAACATTTTCTTGGCACTATAATAATCTATTGGCAATTTCTCTCAATCAACTTTTTTGAAAGCCATTAGATTACGCTTTAGCACATAGTCCCAATTAGTAACACTTATGTTAAAAAGTGTTTTTGTACTCATGAGCTCACACACCCACTTTAAGACAGTGACACCATCATCACACCCATCAAAAAGAGGTGTGTCAGCTGCTCACAAAAGATCAAAGAACTCTTTTGCATCTCCTCTTGGCTCCTCAAATATCAATTCTGTATTGACAGCACATGGATCATCAAAACTAGCATCAAATTGTGTTGCATCTTTTGCCCTTGTGGCACTATTTTCATTATTAAAAAAATTTGGTCCCATGGCATCATGAAGCATGTCTCTGAGTTGATCGACACTTGGAACATTATTCATAGCAGCAATAACAGCGGCACTTGATGATTCACCCACTTGGGTACAATGCTGTTTTCTATAAGTGGGTGCAATACTGTTTTCTATGAATAATTTCTCCGTGTCTTTTCCAAATAAAATACCCATCCATGAAGCTGTTCTTGATAAGATGAGATTTCACTTTGCGTCAATGATGCCATTCTCTATTCCAACACTTACTACATGGACACCGAATCATAATCATTGCACAAAACATGGGGTCTATATGTGAGAATGCAAAATCTAAGAAAATCTCTACCCCAGCATTAAATTCATTGTTCCAATACCCCATTTCATCTCGACGATGATACATCCAACTCCGGTCTTCTTCCATAATTAAGTAGTACGTGCCTTAAAAATTCAACAATATCTTAATATTATATAACAAGCACTGGAATCATAAATATCAATTTTGGTCCATCAATTTTAAGATTTTACATAATTTTTGTCCCTCAACTTTCTTTTTTGCTCATTTTGGTCCTTCAACTATGAATAATGTACATTTTTAGTTCTTCTGTGAATTAGTCTATTAAGTTTGTTTAGCACATTGATGGAAGGACTAAAAATGTAAATACTCATAGTTGAGGGACCAAAATGAGCAAAAAAAAGCTGAGGAAAAAAAGTTATGTAAAATCCTAAAATTGAAGAATCAAAATTAGCATTTATCCTTTTAAAATTACATATGCTACAATAATATAAATAATTACACTTTTAACCAACTAAAAATATACCTAATTTAATTCATCTTTATAATTAATTAAAAAATTATGAAAGTTAATTTGTTATACATTAATTATTATCATTTAATTTTATAAAATATAAATACAATAAAAAATATGTTGTTAAAATTTTTTAATTATTACCTTTTAATTATTATAATATAATTTAATTTGATATAATATTAATTATACATCAATAATGATATATTAATTATTATACTTTAATTTAATAAAATATAAATACAATATAAATTTAAATTAATTTATCTTCAATTTTTATATAAAAATTTAAGTTTTTAAATACTTTAAATTATTAGTATAAATATATTTAAATATAAATACAATATAAATTTAAATTAATTTATCTTCAATTTTTATATAAAAATTTAAGTTTTTAAATACTTTAAATTATTAGCATAAATATATTTAATTACAAATATAATAAATATTTCAGTACCATATTTAATATAATTAATTTACTAATAATTCATTATTTAAAATATAAATACAATATGCACTTGGGCTTTCGGCCCAGTGGCGTCAGGCCACATATAAGTGCATTCCCCCTTCCCAGGGTAACGGTTCGAATCTGCCCCTTTGCGAATTTGTTCAACAAATATATATATATATATATATATGTATATATATATATACAATATAATTTTATTTACATTTTTCTTATATCATAAAAGTTTATATTATAATTGTAACTAAATAATAAAATTTGCAACTAAATAATAAAACTATTCTATACAAAAGATTAATAATATCTAAATATATAATTTTTAATATTCATTTATTATAAATTACTTATCTCAAAATTTAATACAATACACAAAATTTTTTTCATCTTTTATGTAACATAAAATCCTTTACTGCTGTTATAATTAAATAATGAAATAATTCTATCTAATTTTTTACACAATCTATATTTTTTTATATAATATCAAAATACATTTTTACAATTAATATTAAGAAATAATCAACTTGCTAAAACACATTAGACATAATATCATGAGATATCAGCTACCAAAAACAAAATTAAAGATTTAACAGCATTCTAATTTATCATTTTAACTATTAAATACAAATTTTATTTTATTTATTTACTTAAAAATATAAAATATTTTAAAAAAATTCAAAATAATAAGAACAAAATTCAAAAAACTCACGTATGACGTAAATTGGAAACCAATATATCTGTATATGCCTAGATTTGGTGATAAAGGCTGTAGATATGAAGAAATAATATCATGACATATCAATTATCAAAGATAAAATTAAAGATTTAACAATATTCTAATTTACCATTTTAATTATTAAATAAAAAGTTTATTTTATTTATTTACTAA